GTTGGTTGGTTGGTTGGTTGGTTGGTTGGTTGGTTGGTTGGTTGGTTATTGGTGGTTGCTGGTTGATTGGTGGTTGGTGGTTGGTGGGTGGTTGGATGAGCAGCGGGAGGGCGGGAGGAGGAGAGGAGCGGATACAGCACTGAAAACAAAAAACACGTCAATGTGGGGAACAGCCTCGAAACAATACGCCATCCAGCGTCGCTTGGGCTAAATACATGAGGTCAAGGAAACGCAATGGATCGTCCATGATTTTTTCGCATCTCCTTATGGGGACTCTGCGCATCAGCCACACTGGAAACACCGACAGGTTGGAAGCTGCTTTTCCACAGCGTAGCAACAAAGTATTGTTGCGGCACCTGCATCAGCTGCCAAGCCATGCCAATCGGTCCATGAGGCCTTCCTCCGCCATCGCTCGCAGCCCTCGATGGTTCCGTGTTAAAAAGCTCTTCAAGCCCCTGAATCCGCTCAGATCGAGCGGTTGCACTAGATCCGTTGTAGCAGCAGGAATGTAAATCATTTGGAGATTGGAGCTCTTTGCCGATACCAGCACACGTTCTGGTAAATGCGCCGGCGCGCAACCCAAAAGCATGACTTGTTGTGTGCCAAGCGGACTTTTGGCGGATCACCGGGAGACGAGTCTGAGGTAGGGCTGCTTGCTACTTCATTAGCCCGTTTGGTAGTGCGGCAACTTCCCTTGCAAGGCCGGCAAGTCACAAACGATACTGATGTATGTCCAAGCTCTGCGCATGTTCTCTTTTTGATGTTGCAGCCACACAGGCGCTTCCGATCACATGCCCCACTGGAGGCTTCCCAGTGTACGCCACCGAGGTATCATCCAGGTTGAAGAAAACGACACACACACATCTGCTTACTTTGTCTTTAGAAGCGAAACCTGCAGGCCGACGGTTGTTCTTAAACCCCCTCCAAAGCAACATGCCAGAACTGGTACAAGTAGTACTAGTGCTAGTAATACTTTTATTAGTAGTAGATGAGGAGGAGGAGGAGGAGTAGGAGGAGTAGTAGTAGTAGTAGCTGTTTTGTTGTTGCTGTTGGTGAGAAGTGTATACTAACAATGGTGGTAAATAGTCCAGTAGCAGTAGTGGGATGACTAGCACCACAACGTCGTAACCTCCTACTAGGACTGCTACTACCACTCATACTCCTACTACTAATACCAACGCAACCACTACCAATACCACCGCCACTGCCACTACTGCTACAACGGCTACTAATAACTACTGCTTCCACTACTACCACTGCCACTATCACTATCACTGTCACTATCACTACCACTATCACTGTCGCTTTTTTGGGCCCCCATGCTTGCATCCAGCTGCTGCAAGTGTTCATAGAGCCTCAGGGATGAGGTGCATCGTGCGGAAGAGTGGCTCCAAGTGCGGCAAAAAATCACGTTTCCCCCCAGAATCCATAGATTGGTTCACTGGACACCGGAGAGACTGCTGCAGCATGAAGTTCATGAAGTGTCACCGGTTCACCCGTGAGGATCTTTCCACTTTCCAGACGAATCCAAGTATACATGCAATGTGCATATCATATATTCAATAGTTACCTACATTGGAGTCTTCAATGGTGTATATAAATATATAGTAACATATAGTAACTATTCGATGCATAGATGGTCTGGGTATGTATACTTTATGCTGAGGATGACATATGACACCAAATCTGACTGAAGTGTAGTGGACCAGACTCACTTTGTGGCCTACTTGAGTCACTACACTATATTTCAGCAACACCCTGTTCCTCACAAGTCTTGGTTGCACCTGATTGTGATTCACTCTCGTTTTTGGGTGATTTGGAAAGGCGCACCAATTTCCGTGTGTTGAATTTTCTGTTTACACCTGCCTTGGACCTATAGTGATTGGAACACAAGACCAGGATAATAAATATATAATAAATTATATATATCCAACTGCCAGAATCTGTCAAGATGGTTGACCATATCTGCCTGCTATAGTGTTTGTTCTTTGCCTCATGGCATCGCTGGACATCCGTCCGCTCCCGGCTTCCACCCCGCTTTTAACTGGCTTTTCAGGCTCCATGCGTCGTTGCGTCGTCCAAGTGTCGCCTCCCTCCAGGCGAACGGCCGACGCGAACAAACGGACGACCCGACCCGCCGCGGAGAGAAGCGTGGCCGTGAGAGTTGGAGAGGGCTCGGTCGAAATGCCCCCAAAACTCATCACGGATTTTGTGGCCCCCTAGTTACTTAGTAGGAGTCCTAGTAACTGCAGGTCATTGGTCTTTTTCACTTCCGACCGTCCCCTTCTTTCGATGACGTCAGCTCCAAGTCTCTCGGCCACGGCCGCTCCGCGGACCGTTCACTCGAATTGCTCGTGCCGCGAACTCACTGTGCATGTGACAGCGCGTCACGCTGGTATTTGTGCTTCACCTTGGCCCAGTGGAGTGGGTGCGTGGCGAGACGCATGGATGTTTTCAGGTGCATGATGGGGAGGAGTCGGGAGGAGCAAGCTTCAGAAAAACCTGCCCTGTGGGCAACGAGGCCAGGAAGACGTCCGAACACGCTGTTTTTGTTTTTCAGGGCGCCACTGTTTGAAGTGACTTGTTTTGCGGTCCCAGAAAGTCTTTCAGTGCCCTTGGTGATTTGGGATGTTCAATTTTTCCGGAGAAAAAGGCAGCTGAGATCCCCGGAAGGCTGCTGTGCCAAGCTCGTAAAGCCACAAAATGAATTCTCAATCCCTTGTTTTTTCTATTACTCGGCTATAAATCTGAGCTGCATCAAAACACAACGCTCTTAGACTGGCTCTTAGCTATTCAATCTTCAGCACATCGGACCTGTACTGGCCTGGCAAAGAGCACCAAACACGGGAGCTCGGACTTAGACATTCAATTTCTAACAAACAAACGCGACTGAGGGGTCCGGATCCAAGAAACTCCCCTTGACTGAGTGGCGAACTTCTTCTGAATGAATGAACAAAATGATTGATTCTAAATAAATTCTAACAGCTTTTTGTTACTACTAGTAAGGCACCTGTTACTACTAGCGTGGCACTTGTTACTACTAGCTTCTTGTTAGTTCATGCCAGGGCGCTTATGGAAGAATTTCAGACATCAATGCTTGGCACATGGGTGGTGGCTCCATTCCATGCTGGTGATCCACACAGCACTGCCGGATCACATTGCTGTCCTGAAAAACAAACGCCGACTGTCATTCGGTGTCCAACTGTCAGCAGTCTCGTCTCGTCATGTCAGCAGTCTCCTTCAGACACTTCCGTCGGTGACGGCATGGTCTTCCTGTGTTCGATACGGGCCGTAGACCCCAGGACGAGCCCGGACATCTCTGGAAGAAGAAAGTTCCGAAGATGACCGGACTTCTTCCAGCATGTTTTCCAGCTGTTACATGTTTTGTTTTGGGTCCAACTCTCCCAAAAAAGGTGTTTGGATGTATTTGGTAGGTGATTGACTGACAGGGTTTGGATGGTCTGTGTGCACTCTCAGGCAAACTGCTATGGTCGGCACTGCCGGAGGTCCACCCTCAGGTACCACCGTACGCGTCGCTGCTGGTGCTGGAGTATTTGCCTACCTTGGGGTGATTTTAAGATGTAATGTTTTGATGGTCAATGTACAGTAAGTACATATTCCTTGGGTACATCCTATTACCAGTAACAGTGGATGATGATGGTTCAGTTGCAGGCCGACATCTTTCAACTCGTAATGTTCTTCTCGGACCGACTGTTACAGGAAACGGTCCGGTGAGACCGTGGGAGGTGTCGCTCCGTGTCGCTCCTCCTGGCGGTCGGTGGTCTCCTCCTTGGCCTTGCAGGTCTCTGCCACACCTGGGAATGGCCGTTAGAAGCGGTCCATGACTTTTTTGTGCTTTCTTGCTTGCTTGCTTGCTTGTTTGATTGTTTGTTTATGTTTGTTTGTTTGTTTGTTTGTTGGTTTGTTTGTTGGTTTGTTTGTTTGTTTGTTTGATTGTTTTTCTTCTGAAACACGACATGTCTAAACATATGTCACCTCTCAACCATCTGTAGTCTAAGGAACCAACACAAGGAGTGTTCAATCGTCCGTCCAAATCATTCTGGGAGGGTTTTCTAGACATCCATTCTGTTTCATGACCTGAATGTTGTCTTCTACAATCCTGACATTAAAAGAACAGTATGGTTGTTTTGGATTCACATGTCAATTCTAAAACCAACAAAAATAACACCACAAGTCACAAATCGTGGGATACCGTGGGAGCATCTTTTCTTCAGCTCAGGAAGCCGTGAGAAAATGCATGAACATGCGCAAGGAGCCAAACACATGCAGAACAGGCAGGCAGCTAGTAGAGATCTTGGCTACATGGTCAGCACGCGGAAAACCCTCAAAACAACCTCCATGTTGGACCTGCTTGCTACCAAAAAACAACAAAATCAATGACTTAATTGGTTATACTTGGTTCATCAATGTTCATCTGCCCAAGACCAATCTCACACCCTCTGCCTAGCTAAAATGAATTAAAATTACCTAAAACACCCAGTCCTTCCATCCCTTTCACCCAGTTGCAGGACTTCACATCCACAGTCAAGATCGCATCAGCACATATCCTGGGCGATCATGAATAATCACAGTGCATTTTTACAAGGGATTCCCAAATTGGCCCAAATTCACCTTTCGATCTGCTTTGGGGCCTTCGAAAACGATGCATACGCTATATGGCATAATGGAAAATTTGGAGAATGACAGCTCCCCCGCCAAAGACTTCCCAGGATGTGCTCGAACGGCGACCCCAAACGCATCGAACCGCTGTTTGCACACCCACCGGCGTGGTCACACCGGTCACCCAAAACAAGGCGTCAAAACCACCGCACGGATCCGCACGGTCACCCGGGTCTGCCCGGGTCCGTCTGGAGATCAAGACGTTGGTCATCAAACCTCGTCCGAGGGACCGAGGGGTGGCGGCGTTGTGGTGGTGCTGGTCGCAACAGGCGGAGATCTTCGCCGCATCCTCGGCGAGCCCGGACGCGTCGCGTGGCGCGCGTCGCGCGTCGCGTCGCGAGGGAGCGTCATCTATATCGCGCGCCCGGGGGCGGTGGTGCATGGAGTGCGCAGAGTGGCGACGTGGTCGATCTTGGGGGCAAGAATGTAGGATTCGTGGCCCACCATTGATTCGTCGTGGGTCTGCTTCACTCCAAAAGACCCTATAGGGGTCCGTTAAGAGCGCTGGTCTAACCAAGCTTGTCTGACCAAAGAAACAAGTCCATGAGGTCAAACAAAAAAGGGCAATCGATGGTATAGTGCTTCAATGTGATTTGAGGATATTTGAGGTGCTTTTTGGGAACCAACAATTCTTTTGGGGGTGCGACCCTGGTTCAGTTCATCCAGCGTAGATTTGGCCATTTCGATCTTTGGACGAGCAACCACTTGGACCTGGCAAGGAACCTTGCAGAGCAAAATGTGAGTCACGAACCTCATAGGAACCTCTTGAGGATGGTCATGGGAGTTGCCCATGACCATCCTCCCTTTCTACCGTCTTAAAGGAACCAGTCCCGAGACAACCCAGGTCGTAGATGTTGTCAAATCCTCATTGTGAATTTTCCAGAGATCGATCCTTCTCCCCTTTGTCCCAGCGCTGGCTTTGGAGGTCGTCCCTGGACGTCGTCCAACTCCTGAGTCTCTGGATGTCGCTGAACTGCTCCTCCCGCCGTGGGGAGAGTGTGTGGTAAAATACAGGTTCCCTATGGTTCACTGAACCTTTACCAGACCTTCCACCTGGTTCTTCCTGGTTCCTTCCACTTGACCCCTTTGAAATCCCTTAAGGTCACAAACCGGCCGCCCCACAAAAGGTCACGTTGAAGAAGCCTCTTCATGTTTTGGACACCTGTCATCCCCCCCAAAATGGTGAACTCGGTGATCCACGTACTTCGCTAGGCTTGGCCAAGTCCAAGTCGCTTCTCGACAAAGCTTGCAGGCCTCCGAACCGACTTCACAGCCACCACACTCGCCCTCCATGCAGTGATTCACCTGGCAAAAAACGGGAAGAAAAACATCAAGATCGCCAAAGGGAGACCCTCCCCACCCGATAGTTCTTCCCTTTCTTTCTTCCACTTGTCCTGGCATGCCAACATTCACATCCCCACAACCAACGTAAGACGCCCCAAATATGGGGGGCTCCCCTCACCCCGGTCCGACATCGCTGGCTCCGCGTCTCCACCTCGGCGGTCCAGCGGCAGGTGAGCCGCTCCGCCTCCGTGGGGGAGCTCTCGCAGCCTCGGTGCAGAGGGCGTTCCGGTGCAGCGAGCGTTCCGCGGAGCGAGCAGAGGCACTCAGCGCGTTCCGCGGGCTTTGTTTGGTGGACTGACATAGAACACATGGAAAAAAGGCCAGGGGGGTGGTTTGACCTGGGGTCCACATGTATAGGTAAATCTTCCTGACCATGGATCTAGCTGCAACACCAACCACATTCTTTTTGAATGGATTCAAAATGATGCTCAATGCGGTCATCTAAAAACTGAAGGGGATCCCGCCCCCGCTTCCAATTACAAGCAGCACCCACTCCGCCCCAAAACCAGGCCACCGCGGTCGTGGTTGTGACCCTCACCACCTCAGTCGCCGCGGAGGTCCGTGTGTGTTTGGTCGGATGGGACGGGCACGTGGCTCCACCGGTCCACCGGTTCATAGGAAATCAAAGTGAAAGTTGCTGCAGTAACGTGGGGTTTAGTTAGTTAAAGTGTCCAAACCCATAAAGTTAGTATTATAGGACACTTTGTGGGTTTGGTGATGTTTGGTGGTTTAGTGTGCAATGATTGCTTTTGGTTAAGACGAAGCCTGGGATGTTCCTCACACCAAGGCACTTCTGGTGATGTTTTCTGGCTGGACTCTCATTTGTTTGCATCAAAAACATCAGAGAATGCCTCTTGAAAAGGCGTTTCTGGCTCTACAAACTAACCCTTGCAAACAGCTAGCCGTTTTAGAGAGAGAGAGAGGGAGCAACAAAAACACGAGAGAGATTTTGCCACTGGAAAATGAGTAGGTACGGTTGTACCTGCAGAGCAGTTTTCTCAAAACAATCAGGACATATCAAGAGGGCCATGGTACACTACCTGGAGTGCATATGTCACACACCTACCCTGAAAACCAAACACCTGCAAGTCAAAAGCAAACCATACTCATCCAACTTTAAAACAACAAAGGCTCTGAGACTCTCATAAACAACTGCTGCTAGAAGAACGATTGTCTGCCGTCGCGCAACGAAAAAAAGCACTTGACCACTGACTCAGTCTGCCAGACCATCTATATATATGCCATTGGCGAAAAAAAATGAATGGAAGTGGATGGCCACGAAGACTCGGATGATCATGAAATCCGAATGCTATGATTTGGTCCTTTTCATTGGTGCCATCCACTTCCATGTTAGTTTTCCTCCCAGTGAAGACGTGTAGACGCACGTGGCGTCCCCACCAGTCTTCCCGTCTTCTGGGGGTGGCCAGAAGTCCAAGCGACGGAACTCACAGCGGCCGACGAGTCTTATAGTGGATGTCACAAAGTTACACCTCCACCTATACCAGCACCCCACTTCACCAATCACCAAGGGTTCGACCAACGAACTCCAACAAGCCGACGACAATGTTGCACTACAAGCCTCCAACTCGGAGACCTGTAGAGTCGGGTGCTGGTCGACATATGAAGGCAAAGCAATGAATGTTCCATCACTTAGGTGATCTTAGGTGCCCTATGGAGGCACCGCTGTTCGTTGTTCAGTTCGACCCTGAGACCTCCGTGATATTGGAAAGGGAGTCGACACTCAGTTCCTCTAAGGGACAGATGGCCGGTAGTTGCACGTTGTGAAAATCTCCACTGCAACACCGGGAGACGATGCTCTCCTCATCGGCGCCAGGAGTGGGTCCAACCAAAACACGTGGTCAAGTGGGGCCCCCTACAGGCGTCCGCAGAGTTTTCTCCGGGCACCCAAACTGGGGGCTCAATCTCCGGTTGAATGACAAACAAACACTACGGACCAAAAAAACACTGGAATTCTTCGTGCTTCACGGCTTGACAAACCTGGGGACACAAAACTCGGAACTGTCCAAAGACTTCACGTTTCTCATTGATGCCCAAACCGGATTCAATCAGTAGGGTGTCAACTTGGTCCAAAATATATATTGGAAGCCGTTTTAAGCAGTGTCTATCTATGTTTTAAGCAGTGTCTATCTAGTACGTATTACCTTTTTGAGGAATTGTATCATCTTGGACGATTCTTGGAGCGAAACCTCACTTTAAACGGAACTTCATGCAATACCTGGCGGGTTACAAACTGAGGTTGACTCCAGTCTGTTCATGTTTGTTTCTGTTGTCACCGTTCACACAAATTCTGCCCACAAAACCCAACAATCCCTTACAAAGAAAAGGGGGGATCCTTCATGGATCTTCAATCCAAGCATCATCCTTTTCGCACAGCTCGCACCGCGCGGCATCGCCGCATCCCGTACACTCCGTGGTGATGCATTGACGGATGTTCTCGGCGAACATGGCGTTCCTGAGGTGCGCCGTCCGAGACGTTCGTGCCCTTGGAGGGCTTCGCAGCGGGGAGAACGAAAGACTAAGACTAAGATCTCTTTTTTCGCACCCCCCAAGTAGATAGAAGTTCGTAGATCCCACTGAAAAAATGTACCAAGGACACCGTGCCACTGTCATATCTATTTGGGGACCACTATATAGCTCTAGAGATTTGCAGCTGATCTACGGACACTGCGGCCGATCAGAGGGACCGGGCGGCCTGGCCGTCGATAGACCAAACCTCTAGCCTCCCAGAGGCCCGAATTGACCAGCCAACATGACCAGCTTGGGAGGACGTGTTGGATGGTAAAGGCTGGTAAAGATTGTCAACACAGGATTAACCAACCCCTCCTATTAATCAAGCCCAGCTCCAAAATTTAAACTAGTTAAAGGAAAAAAGGACCAGCCAACATGTGAAAAATTTCCAAAAGCCATGATGTTTGTCAACCATCCATGGCTGGGGTGTGGCGCCGTAGCTCAACTCCGAAGCACTGACACCCGGGATCACCCGAGTGACACACGCCTTCCCTTCCCAGCATGAAGAAGCAGTCAAAATGTCTCGCCTGACACATGTCTTCCATATAAACATTCAATCCAAGGAGCTCGCAAAGGGACGGGATGGTCGCCATCTCTGAGTGGTCGTTGCAACACTCTGTGATGATCTTGGAGTCCTCCCGGCAAAGCCTCATTCGAGTCGACGCCCGGCCAAAGCCGGGGGGCCATGTCTCCAATGTCTCGTCTTTCAAAAAACACCGGGTCTGACATGTTGATGGGCTGTCATGGACAGCTCCTATTTAATCTCATCAGTTTCTTGCAATCGGGTGCCAATCACGGGGACATCTGCTCATGCAGTCCACCATAAGCAATGACAAACTGAAGTATACATAGAACCAGGCCAAAGTCAGGATGCTGAAGGCCAATTGTTGCGAATCGTTGGAGATGTAGGCCATGGATTGGGAAAGGACGACTTGTCTCAGACATATGTGTTTTTTCGTGTTTTTTTGTGCTTTTGGAGAAATGAGTGAGCCACTGAGCTGGAAAAAAAGGGCCTACATGGGCCTACTGATCCCAATAAGTCAATCTACTGATCCCAATCACGGCTCTTCAATCATAGAGAGATGGACTCGAAGGCGGATCACTCATGAGCGGCTCTACGTCGTACTTGCCCATGAACGGCTCACATATCCCTGTGAGGAACTCAACCTCCCCCACTAAACAATGCGAAAATTGACATCCCGGACATACGGGAATCTGTTCGTTTTCAGGGGTCAAACCAGGGTGACCGGGTTTTGACCCACACCCACATATCCCGGTGGATGACAACATTGAGATTTTGCCTGCTTAAAGCAGCTTATGTTTCTCAAGAGTCTTAAAAGGAAGGTTTGAATATGATTGAATAATATTGAAATACATTACATTTGGCTCCTGCTCCTCGTCGAAATTCCTTCGACGCATTTGGCATGGAGTGCTGTTTTGGGGGGGATCTCAAAATCCCGCTTGTAGCACAGGAAGTCGCCTGTGCTTGGAAGTCTGTTTGACTGACGTCAATGAAGTCTCCTCCATCGTCCACCCATCTTCCGTGGACAGGCAGCTGGCAGCGCTCCCCTTGGCACTCTTGGCATTTGGCCTCAACGCACTTCGTCGACTCTTCTTCCCACTTGCAGGTCAAGGCGTCGCCCTCGCAGACTGCCGCAGACCTCCGCAGAAGGCTCCTAGGGCCGATGAGAGGCCGATGAGCGCGAAGGCGACGGTTCTCTTCCTCCAAAAAAACATCAGTCGCGAACCGGCTACGCCGTGTCCGCACGGTCCCCTCGGCCCCCCCCGAGACCGATCTGAGGGGCAAAATGACGAGTTGGAAAACCGGCCAAACAAGCGCCATGGTCTCAAAAGGCTGCTGGACTGACCCAAATGGCTGCAGAGAGGAGCATCTATCTTGCCCAAAAACAACACCACGCCCGGGTACGAGATGCACATGGAACGGGAAAACCACTGGGTTGTAAAGGACTAGTCTTTAATCTTCCGGAGTAGTAAAATCGAATAGAGTGGCTGAGCAGCAAGGCTGTTGGCCAAAGAGTTCAAGCCTCTCAGAACGAAAAATGTAATGTGCAACCCCTATATATACATCACATGTTATACATATATTTCATATATTTACTTGAAACATCTTCAAACCACTGCATTCGCGAGTGCAGAGCCGTCACCGCAGAAAATCATGCATGGTTCGCAGGTGCCTTTAGCTGTTGGGTGGGGATCACCGGCTGAGAATCTCCACACACCCCGCAACAGTTCCATGTAAGGCGAGATGGAGGAGGAAACGATACATGGCTCTTACTCACCGGATTCTCTCGCACTTGGGTCATGTTCCCATTCAGTTTTTGCCTCATTTGGTCAGAAGGTTTTAGGGGCGATCGCATTGAGGACATGGGAGTCAAAGTCGAAACCGTCACAAAGACTTCACGAAAACACACCCCTCTAATTGGGGTGGATATCATCGCTCGAGATCGAATGAGAAGAAGCAAACAGCTCTGCTGAACATGTTTGGACCCCAAGGAATTTGGGGTTCTACTTCACCCGGCCTCCTTTGAAACACATGTCTTCCCGATGCTTCCCGAAAAATCCTTCCCACTCCAGGCAACAACTTGAAGAGTTTCTTCTGCCACTCATAGGCTTCGGCCGAGGGCTGCATCTGCCACCGGAGTGATGGGAACGATCGGTCCTTCTCCGGTGTGGTAGCGTGGTACCGTGGGAAATACCAAGGTTCTCCTACCCAAACGCTCCGAACTGCCGTTGGTCCCTCAAAACTGAAGAATTTCATACCCCAAACCCCTCCATACGAGGGTCCGATCCCTCTATCATTGATATTATATATAAATACATAAATACGAGGGTCGATGAGTGTGTGGGTGCATATAAAATCACCTGCCAGTTTCTTCAAAGTGATCGTTTGTGGAGTCCCATCCATCCAGTGACTATTTCCAGGCCAACCAGGTGCAGTGAACTGTTTTTGACTGTGGGTTGCAGCCTCCTTGCTTTGGAGTTCAGCGATGTCCCCTTCAAGTTTCGAGAGACTTTCATCCTCCTCATGAGTTCCTGCATTATTTATTTCCTCATCCTTGTTGTGCACAAGTTCATCAAATTTCTCCCACAAACTGGTTTCGCCTGTGCTTTCGCTCTTGCCTCAACCTCCTTAAAATTTTGTTCCAGGACTTTGAGCTTCGGCTTCAGGTCTTCACACCGTACAGGGTGCGGAGGGGCTTCTGGCGGCAGCACAGGAAAAAGAGCGCCAGGAACGTATTGTTTTTGTAGCTGTGGATGGTAGCCACAGCTTCACTTCCATCCAAAAGTTTGTGCAGAATCTTTGACTGTGCTTGGAGTGGCAAACAGTTTTTGCCAGCTCCTCCAAGCCAAGTGTATGATGCAATGGGGTCCCTGGCCTCCTTCTCCGCTGTGTCTGACTTCCAGTCAGTTGAAGCTCAGTCATCTGCGCTCCAACCCGAGGAGTGCCAATCACTCCAACCACCACTCTGCCATGGTGCCCAGCCGCCGCCCCTCCAATCGTCATCTTGCCACCATGATGACATGACGCAACAAAAAACCAATGGAAAAAGTCGAAGGGTGCTTCGAGGCTGGGCCCAGCCAAAATTCTTCAAAATCTGCAACAAAAAACGATAAACCAAAGTGATTCGTGGCCGTCTTTCGTTTAACCCCACTCTCGTGAGATCCTTAGTCTGCGCCGATTTAGCCAGGCGCGCAAAGACCTCCATGAGAACGCTGCCAACAACCGGGCTCGACATGGCATTGCCACATGCTCTCAGCAGGTCCACCTTGCGCATGTGCACACCATGGCTGGAATCAGCCCTTGGAGCGTGAGTCTTTCTAGTGGATGGAGTGGTCTGCTGAAACCACCTTCGTCTGCACTCAGGTCCCATAACCAAAGGAGCTCGTTGCCAGTCCTCCTGGCTGTCGGGATGCCATTCCGCCTGACACGGAAGTCGCACTTCCCGCGCAAGAGCTGACATAGTGGCGTCCGGCAATCGCAAAAACTGCACGCTGCGTGAAAGCCTCCGGTTGATGTTTACGCGCTTGTCGTCCAACAGCACGCGCCCCACCACCGGCTCCTCCCTCATGCTTCGACATCTTGGAAGCTCTGTCTTGCCTCTGGTACTCCAACTTTGAGTGTGTAATTGCGTCATCAAGCATCCATTTCGGAGCGATGTCCGCCCGTGTCCCTGTAGCCCGAATGCCCAACATACGTTGTGCAGACGCGCACCAGCGGAACTCAACAGCAAGCTCAAAAGTTCGCAGGGCACTCCCGTACCTCAACTGCAAGTGCTGGATCGCAGTGGGCAGCGCCGGACCTCAACCGCAAGTGCTTGATCGTAGCTGGGCACCGGACCTCAACTGCCAGCGCTCGATCGCAGTGGGCACCGCCGGACCTCAACTGCCAGCACTCGATCGCAGTCGGCACTGCCGGGCCTCGCCAGATATAACGCCAAAATGTATGCCAGATAGATTGGCAGAGCCTATGCCAGATAGAATGTGAGAGTATATGCCAGATAGATTGCGAGAGTAGCTGCAAGATAGAGTTCCAGAATGGATGCCAGAATGTCAGAGTAAGTGCCACATAGAATGTCAGGCTTTATGCCATGTAGAATCCCAGCTCATATGCCAGAAAAGACTGCCAGTATATATTATTTTCGATGGACAGTCTCTTTGATTGCAGAGCAAATGTAGGAACACATGTCAAAAGCACATGCCAGCACCAAAGCCGGTCCACATTTGACATCACATGTCAGGCAGGAAAATTGTCAGAACAGACGCCAACAAGTCCAGAACATGTCCCAGCCTTTATGATAGATGAATTGTGAGAGCACAAACCAGACTTGATGCAAGAACAAGCGTCAGAACATTGTGTGAATCTGCATGTCCGCCTTTGTCGGGCTAGTTTGTCAATACACGCGCCCTGCCTTCTGCCAAATCGCCTTCCAGGTTGGGGATCACTCGAAGTAGAGCCATTTTCTGTGTGTGTCGCAGATTGATTGGGGTGCCATCAACAAAGCTGCAAACTGAGGGGCCAGCTATTCCAAAACCCGGCGAATGAGCATCACATATATGGTAGCTATACTGGTAGCTTTTTCTGTGGAACAAACTCTATGACACTGCCTGCAAGTCCATCTGCATCGGTCTGCACTACCCAGCCACTGAACCATGCATTGGACAGTTCCAAGTTCCATCATGAACCTGGTCATGACTGAGAGCCAAGTCTCTATCTTTGTTTCAGTACTGAAGAAACCCCCGTTGGATTCTCCTGCTCCTCCAGGTCCGATGCTAGAGTCTTTCTGAACAAATGTCCTTGCAGTCCCACCCCGCCCAACACAAAACAACAAGAATCTTCTATTCCAGCACCACCCAGTTCTCTATGGATGCTTGTGGATGCTTCTTGGATGGAAAACCACCATCGGACGCTGGGGCTTGGTAGCTGGAAAACCACCCGGTTCCAGGCTTGGCGGCGATCTCGCCCGGCGTTCGACGAAAGCTCAGCACCTTCAACTGCCAAAGGTCGCCAGGTTCTGCTTTCAAATATTGCACCTGGCTATGCGGAGTCGCAGGTGGCAAGCAACCTGCAAGAAAGGGGAAGATTTTATAACTTCCACGTCTTTTCTTGGGGTGGAAGAGCGTGGATTTTACAACTTCACTTGGTAGAGCGTATCTTCATCATATTCATCCATTCTTACCACTGCCAGAGTGTTCCAAACGTTGAGGAACACACACTGGCGACGAAAGAACCAGATCGATGGAAATCATTGGAAACCAGTGGATCACAGTGACCATATTATAATTGAGTAATCAGGGTTTCTAAGTCTTGGGAACCTCAGGTTACCTCTAAACTACCTGGATCAGTTGGAAGTGAAAAACATAAATGCAAATAGACAAAGACATGCCACAGTTCTTGAACGTTTCTTTTTTTCTGAGTGCAGTTAGGAGGTAGAAATTTGGCCCCGTACCCTACATCGAGAATGTTCCTTCAGGCTTTTGAGATAAACCATGATTCAGGAATAAATAACCACAGGTTTTACCACTTCAATGCAGCTCAATTGGCGCCATTGTTTATTTAAAATGACAATGTCCAAAAATGATGGTAAAAGATCAGAAGGTCTGTTTCCACATGTGGACCCTCCAATTTATTGGTGGGTGGGTCCCAAATATGAGAGATCCCAAAGATCAAATCTCTTCAGATGAGGAGAGATCCCAAGGAAGTGAAGATAGAAAGAGAGGCGATGAGATAAATTGCAGTTTTTTTTTGGTTTTCTGGCGATGTTGGACCTTACTGAGCCTTACTGATTGCCGGAGGTTTAAGGATGCCATCGGACACCCACTTTGGGAAAATGGCCAGAAGGTATGTTGAAAGGCAGTTTGTTTTGCACAAAAGTGAATGGACCTTACCCATAGGGCGGCGTTCCTTAATCCTGTCTTCACATTGGATACAACTCCTTCACCTGAAGATCCCTTGCTTTCTGGCCTGACGTGTGTTCACTTGGGGCCTATTCAACGTGTCCTGAGAAGTTTTTGGGAAATTTAGAAGTGACCCTTGTCCTGTTGACCAGTGACCCAGAAGCCTGAGTCTAGGAATCTCAAGCAGCCTTTCGTCACTCAACAGCCCCCCCCACAATGACCGGAAAGCATGGCATGTTGTCCGGGACACCGAAAGCAGGAGCGATTTGAGCTGGACTGATGTCCAGTCACCTCTCTTCACGCGGCTTCTTGGATCCATACAACAACCAATAAGTAAATGCATACATGCTATGTCAAGGACCCTTCGTTGTTTTCTCTCTGTATAAAGAGCTCCACTCATGTTTGGGCGGATATATACCAATCATAATATATGATGTGCGTCTTTTTTTTGATGTGTTTTA